TAACCTTGTTTGATGTGATTCTGTAGCTTCTTGACCGCTTCGTAGATTTTCTTGATGAATGCAGTAATTATGCTGTTGATAATAACGTGCACTGATGAATAGTTTTTGTGGCTCCAGTAGATTACACTGTCAATAATTACTGCGCACTTTGTTAGTTAGATTAGGTAGCTCCAGTGGATTACGCTTTTGTTGGAAATCACTGTACACTTTGTAGGTTAAATTTAGTGGCTCCGGTGGATTACGCTGTTAATAATCACTGTGCACTTTGTAGGTTAGATTAGTGGCTCCAGTGGATTACGCTGTTAATAATCACTGTGCACTTTGTAGGTTAGATTAGTTAATATAAGTTTAAGTATAACACTGAAGGTCGAATCCGGCTCAAATTGGACCAAAAAATGTAAGCGCCCGGTGCAATGTTTATTAAAAAAGTCAATTAAAAATCACTACGCACAGACACTTAATTACCTCGAAGGACCAGATATAATTTATCATTAGAATGGCTATATCAGACCTTTAAAAATATGTGAGTTAAATAAGTTGGTTAGTTATGAATAGTATTTATTTGTATGATGTTCACGGTTCAAGTTATGCGTACAGAATGGATAATTTCTTATAACTATCTTAGTACCTAGAGTAGGGTAGGAAATTATTTTATTACAGATTAGAGGGAGTTCAGTATATAGGTAGAGGGAGATGGATAAATAAAATTTGTGAGGCTCGAACAGACAGTATGTTCAAATTTAGGTACTACTAATCATGATATAAAAGTTCATATATTGCAAACAAGCAGCAATATTATATAACAATTTTATAAAAGCTGATTATACCTATATAAAAATTATATTCATTTTCGAAAAGTCAAGGTAATAAATCTCATTTGCATCTCGTTTAATCTTCAAGCATATTGTCTGTCTAATAATTTAGAAAATTCGGATTAGACATAAATTATGAAAAAATTCAACCAAGTGAGATATAAATCTGTATTAACTATGTAATAGGATGTAATCCTACCTAAGACATTAATGTAAGGAATGTGCGTTATTTTGCTGCTTAAAAATCTTTAAATTATTCTACGTTGGCAACGGGACGCATTTAAAAGTGTTTCGACCTCACGAAGCAATTATAACGCTGAAATATATTACTCCAACACCGGCAAAACAATTGCTAAATGTTTTAAGATCGCTTTCTGCGAAATTTCTCGCACGTAAGAAAAAATAAAAAAACTAGTGGTGCATGGCATCGTGCCTTAAGACAAATTGTTGAAATTTTTTGTATCAAAAAGTGAAAGCTTGAGAAAGCTTTAAAATTTTTTCAAAACTTAAAAAAAATTAGATTTTTAAGAATTTTTTGTAGTTTTTGAAAATACAAATTTTGCAAATGATATTTGGTTTAGAAAATTTGTATTAAGAGTACTTTCTTATAAGCTCACTTATAACATCTGACTGCAACTACGATCTTAATGTAGTTGAAGACGTATTACAAGTTACATCATCGCATAGCATTAATTCAAATAGTTCAACAAATATGTATATTAATATAATTATGAAATATGTTATAGCTTCATATCTTTTATTGTCACTAAGTCAATATTCGAATTAAACCATTAATCCTCAATTATTATAAATTTCATCACCAACATTTACTACCCAGTGCAAGCAAACAGAAAATAATTTATTGCGCAAATTATTTTTTCTACTGTGATAATAAATAATTTTAATTAAAAACATTGCATTTTCGCGGCCATTCGACACGAAATATTTAATCATGCTGATATATAAGCCAAAAATATACAGAACACGAATGCATAAATATAACGAAAATCTTATTTTAATATAAATTTCGCTAGCGTATCACGAAAGATATCGTATATCATTGTCAGCTTCTGTAAATTACGAACTGTTACACTAGTACCAAACCAATGCTATATAGAATAGAATAGAATGTTCACTCACATAATATTATACAACATCACAAAATGCATGAAAAGCGTGGTAATTAAGATAATGAACATCCCGTTAGTTTTTTGAAGTTTGGTACGGAACCTTTTGAGCGTAAAGCCGTTGACTGTCCGTCTGTCTGCCAAAGTTTAAATAAGTACTCATGAAAAATTCATCCAAAACTCCAAATAAATTACTACAAAACCTAGATGGCAATAAAATTTATTAAGAAACTGGTCAATGACATTTATAAATATTTGCATGAAAAGTAAATAAACAAAACTTGATCAAGCGAAATTAAAACTAGCTATAAGTGGAATTCTGTCTTGAGGCAATTATGGCATCGTGCCTTGAGGCAAATTGCTGGAACTTCCCGCACCGTAACGAAATGTTCGAGGAATATTGAATGTTTTCAAATAGATTATTATAAATATTGTAACATTGTCTAATATTTATAAGAATTATATAAACCGAATTGCAGAGTTGAAATTATTTCTAAAGTATATTAGAACTATAGTCAGAATTAAAAATAAAATCTGAAATATTTTCGATATACAAAATATTAAAAAAAAAAAAAAAAAAAAAAAAAAAAAAAAAAAAAATTGGAACAAATTTTTTTTCCAAAATCAATTATTTTGTTAAGACAAGCAGAAAGTTCTTTGAATCATTTAAATCGGACGCTTAGTTCTCTCAAAAACTGCCATTTTTTACATATTTAGCTCCGTATCTTCGAAATGGCTGGGCCTGCCTTTGCCAAAATCTAATAAACACTTCTCCCAATCATTACTAATTGAATGTTTTTTAGATCATTCAAATCGGATACTCCGTTCTCTCAAAAATTCGATTTCTATTTTCTGCACTCTTTGCTCCGTATCTCCGAAACGGCTGGACCTGCCTTTGCCAAAAACTAATCAGCTCTTTTCCCAATCAATAGGAATCGAATGTTTTTTGAACCATTTGAATCGGTTGATCCGTGCGCCCTAAAACGTGACTGGAAATTTGTATCCACACATACATACACACACACACACACACACACACACACACACATCCATTTTTTCTGAGGTATGCCAAAACGTTCAGAAACCTTCAAAACATCGAGAAATGTAAAAATTTTCAATTCCGATTTTCGGCCCATTACAATAACTTACCCTACGGGAAGTTAATGAAGGAACTTATATCATGTTTCTATTAGTTATATAAATTGAATTGTAAAGTTAAAATTATTTATTTGAAGTATATAAGAGAGTTTAAGAATTTTAGCTAGAATTAAAATTAAAATCCGAATCATTTTTGATATAAAAAAATGGAAATAAAAAAAAATTGAAATTTTGAAATAGAAAAAGACCTGCAAAAACTAATCATTTTTTAATACGCAAAATGTTTTTTAAATCATTCGAATCGGATACATTGCTCTCGCAAAAACTTAATTTCCATTTTCTGCACTCTTTGCTTCGTTTCTCCGAAACTACTCGACCTACCTTTTATAAAAACAAATCAGCACTAATCCCTTTGTAGGAATCGAATGCTTTTTGAATCATTCAAATCAGTTCAGCGATATTCCCGAAAACGTCGCCCAAAAACTGTATCCACACACACACGTACTTTTTCTAAATTTCTTCTCATTCGATTACAACATAATTTAAATATTTCTTTTTTCCTTTGTTTTTATTTTCTATACTCACTATCAACTTATATATTAATATGTTAAATGATATAAATAGTGAACAATAAAAAAAATAATAGAATAAAAATTAGCAATATCTATTTTCTTTTTTACTACTATGGAGACGGTTCGAAATTTTTAATTTGTTTTATAAAGATATAACCTTTCTTTTACTCGTTATTTTTTATTTTTATTTTTTGCCATTTTCGTCGAACTATATTATTTTTTATAAATTATAGATTTTGTGAAAAATAATGCTGTTATTTACTCACTTTGAATAAATTTACGTTATCAATTATATATAAACACTAATTGAAAATAAAGTTTATCTAATATTATAAATATTCATATGTGATTTTTTTCGAGGAAAATTTTCCTTTCCTCTTTTTTTGTCACACAATTTATACTTATTATTGTTTACTAGACTATAGGATGAGGTATATTATACCTACGGTTAAATATCCAAACAATGTCAAAAATGAACTGTACATATTTATATTTATTGAAATATTTTTTGTTTATTTTTTGTTTTAAACAAAGTTTAAAAACAACGATGCTCTTTGTTTTGGCATTCCAAACAACTTAGCTTATACACACATAAAATTTAGTTTTGATCATAAAACGGGGAGATTTTATCTTATCTACATATTGTCCTTGAAAACATAGATTATGTACTATACATTCTTAAACGTACATTATTTAGTGTTGTATTTTGATAGTACAACAATAAAAATATTATTGTAGACATAAGGAAATTATAGTTTAGTGCTTATAATTTCGTGCAAATGCAAATAATAATAACTTTGGTTAGAAAAATATTTTTAAAAAATCGAAAACGTGTAAAACGAAGGATATGTGTGTTTTCTATAGGCTTAGACCCTTATCTGCAAACTCTTGCTATGAAGAATAAAATCCAGCAGATTATTTTTTATTCGAAAAAATAAACATAGAAGCGTATATCTTATAATTTTAGATAACATTTTAAAACTGACCTATATACTTAAAATAATGTTAACTTGGCAATTCAGTTTAAAGAATTTTTAGAAATATGGAACAAGATCCTTCAATCTAATTCCGCTTGATCAAGTTTTGTTTATTTACTTTTTATGTAAACATATAAACGTTGTCGTCTAATTTGTAAAAATTTATAATTTATCTATGAAATACGTATAATCAAAGTTTCATTATTTATAATAATGAGTATAAATAATAATAATAATATATAATAATTATTTATCTATTAACTAACTAACTAAACAGATAAATGTAGAAGCAATATCCCCCAAAGATCATTTTCTTAAGAGAAAGATAATAATCATTATCATATTTTAGATCTACAACAATATCTAATAGATATAATTATTATTTTTAATACTAGTTTTTCCTTTATAATTTACCTTATGCTAACAGCTTTGTGTGTTTGTTGTTTCAGTATCAGTTCGTTTACGCACTAACTCGATTACCACACATTGTCTGAAATGTACAAGCCAATGAAAACAATCAAACACTCCCGTAATAGTTTTCCCAAAATAAATTTTATAACACAAATAAAACCAGTCACGAAAAAATCTAAATCGCGGCGATGACGTCGAGTCTATCGCACAACAATCGCCGGTCGCAGCCGTGCGGGAACTGAATGCGAAAACGCGAAAATGTTTTGTGAAAAGCACGTGGATAGTCTGTAAAGGACGCATGCGCCGGATTCTTTGTTTTCTTGCAGGACCTGAACTTTATTAATAGCGAACGTATATATGATAGAAATAGCTTGTTGAATTATGAGAATTGTAGGTAGAACGAGATATGAAAGTGCGGTTTAGACAACGTCGAGAGACGGCGTGAAACAGCGGCGCCTCAGGTGAAGTAGAGAGGTGAGGCGCCCGTCTTATCCAGGTGCATACGTGGGACGGAGGAAGTAGATACTGTAGAAATATAAAGTTATAGTAATCGCAAAAAAATCAAAATGAAATTTTTTATATATCTTTTGTTTTCAAGGTTTCTGAACATTCTGGCATACCTTAGAAGAAATGGTTGCATATGTGTGTGTGTGCGGATACACATTTTTGTCGACGTTTCCAGGACCACCGCTTAACCGATTTGAATTATTCAAAAAACATTCGATTTCTATTGATAAGGGGACGTGCTGATTAGTTTTTGACAAAAGTTGGTTCAGCCGTTTGGAGATACAGGGCAAAGAGTGCAGAAAGTTGCAATCAAGTGAAAAAATTGCTATCGTAAAAAAACAGAGCGCCCGATTTGAATGATTCAAAAAACATCCCACTTTTTTTCCATTGACAATCGTTTTTATTAATATTTCAGAAACACCAATGCATAATTATTGCATCACACAATTTCTCAATAAAACATCAACTTACATTCTAATACAACAGTCATGTCAATCAATAGAAATTAATTTACTCTTATATTTATACCTATACAATCCATACCACCATATATTGCATACCGATTAGAAGTGTCTAAGAACTTGCTATTATAATATAATAAACAAAATACTTTCCAGTCGAATATTTTAAAATATTTTATCTATTTACATTTCTTACTAATTTTGCATAATTTTTGCTCAACATAACAATCACTCTGAAAAAATAACATTCCTGATTCATCTACATTTATAAATATAAGATTTTATTAACGTATTGAAGAATTGAATAAACATTTGCAAAGGGCAGGTCCAGTTGTTTCAGAGATCGTGAAAATCGTTAAAATAAAATGCCATTTGGCGTCAATCAGATATTTTTGATAATCTGGATCAATCAACATGATAGTATTCAGAATTTTCAAAAAAAATCAATTTTCAAAATTTCAGAATTTTCAAAAAAATGTGTTTTTTCAGTTTTTTCAATATTTAAATTCTTCAAATGATTTCAAAATTTTCAAAAATGTTCAAAAAGATTTTTAATTTTTTTTAATTTTAAGGGGCACAACTAGTGTGAAATTTCGAAAAAATCGATTTTTGGTTTTTTTCATATTTCGGTAGATTACACCTTTAAAAATAATATATTAAAATTTCTAATTATTATCTCAAATAGTTTTTGAGTTACAGCCATTTAAAAAGTATATATATAGTATATAGTACAACGATCATTTTATCTTTAAACGCGTTTTTCTCGAAACAGCTTTTCCGAATTTGCTGCAGTGATTACTCAAAAACGAATGATCACCATCAACATTTTTTTACATGTTCTTCATATAGTTCTCCGTGAAATGAACTATCGATTTTTTGATCGGATCAAAAGTCGAATTTTGGCAGTCGAAAAACGAACAAAATTTTGGGTAAAATTCGACTTTTTTTCTAAAACGACGCCATTTTGTCAATTTTTGATTTATTTTGTTTATCGTAGTTCATTTTACAGACAATATTATCTAGTTTAACGAGAATTTTTTTTTTATTTCATCCACGTAGAAGGCCGGAATCACAGCAGCAGTTGAGGGCCTTTTTTTGTCGCGCCGTTGGAGATCGGCGATAACTTGAAAAATATTTAATTTTTTTCTTCAAAAATGTTGCTATGTATTTTTAAGACATGTATAAATATATTTCTAAAATTTTGAAATGATTGATGAAAGAGTTTTTTTAATATAAATTCCCAAAAATCACCTTTTTTAGGCAGGTACACTAGTTGTGCCCCTTAAATTATGGTACGGGAATTTCCAGCAGTTTGCCTTTAGGCACAACGCCATGCGCCACTAGTTCATATTTAAATTCATATTAATATTAATGTGAGACCAGTGCTTTATTCTAAATGAGAAAATAGTTCTGATTAATACTTCTAATTTTTTGCCGAACTAATACCTACTATCGGTGAAGTTTTTAACTCGCCAGTATGGAGTGCAGACGAAATAATTAGAACACATCGCGTCGGCGCGTCCAATAAACAAAATATATGAAAACAAAGTTAGAAAAAGCAAAAAATTGCACGCGTACAGGCAGGCCAACTGAACACAAAACTGAAATAACCAGGAAACACACTCAACTGTGTGCTCTCGACTTGGCTGGGAAATATTTTAATGGCCCGGGGATTTAATTAATTGTAATAGCTGTTGATTTATGAGTTTGAAAACCGCGCGCATCAGACAATCTGGTGCTGCTTGCGCCACGTTAAGACTTAACATTAAAACTTTCGGCGGTCTTTTTATTAATTGCGGCAATCGCTGTTCTTAGTGAATGCAAGAACATAAAACTCTTCGAGGAACTATACTAACGGGCCAAAATTAAATCAGCATTTATGCCCTTCATGGGGGAGCTGGAAATAGCCAGAGAACGAAGGCAATTGGTAAAAGAAAATGATAAGAAAATTTGGAATGCAATCGTTTTGTTAAAAAAAATGTTATTCTCAAAAACTGTATAAAATTGAAAACGTGTAAAATGAGTACCGAGCGAAATGGTGGATAGGTGCATGTATTATATTATTTTAATGAAAATGAAAAACATTAGTACAATATCAGAATTTCAAAGAATTATGTCTCTTTCCAAAGAGACAACTATTGTATATATTTAGAAAATTAATACATAAGATATTTCTTCTCTTCAATAAAATATTTTATATTGGATTATAGACTGACAATTAAATAAAACATGCAATACTTGATGCAGATACACATTTAGGAACCACACAAAGTATAAAGAACATACATATAAATAAAAAAAAATATCTAAACATTATTATACATTAAGAGTTCTCAAATAATTTTCAGTCAAAAATATATTTTCCACTAGCTATAAGGTTGTAACAACTTGCAGACTATGTGATGTCTACTTTCTAGAGCAACTGCCGTTTAGAAACTAAGAAGATTACAGAGGTTATAATATATTATGAGTAATTTGAAGAAGACTAGTTAGGTTTTCTCTTATCTCACGCGTTGCAAAAAGGATGATAAAAAGTTCACTTGTAGTAAATTCCTAAAATAAAATGTAATTTATATTAATATATATAAAAGACTACGTAACTGTAAGTAGAAATAATTTTCACATATACAAACTAAGTATATCATTGCATTATTTTTCACTTCTAAATGCAATATATGCAAAAGAGTTTTCTATCCCAAAAGGTGACAGATAACAAATAACAAATTTTAGAAAAATAGCGAAAAAAACATATTTATATATCTAGGTAATAACTAGGAAATGTACATATTTCGATAGTTGGTTGTTTGTTATGAGTTATGTTCGGTGATACATGTTGTTTTATTTTCACATAATTAAATATTGCTAATATGCTTGTAAAATGCTTTTATACATTATGATGCTGAATGTGATATTTCTCTCGATGGTGCATCTAATACAGCTGAACAATCAATCACGAAAGATCACTTTAATAAAAGCACATATGTAATAGAATTAGGTTAATTGGCTTATATCTGGTGCTTTACTTTTACCTCCACTCTACTTCTACCTGTATCTGGTGCTTTACCTTTACCTTTACTCTACCTCTTCCTATATAAATTTTGAAAATATGAATAGAAACCTTGATGGCAACCTCATAATCTTTCCACACATAGTTTCTTCAGTTCAGCTTCAGATGCCAATGCTTGCTCTCATATGTACCCCTTCAGACATAGAATTTCATGTACCCCATGGGCTCTGTACACGACTCACGCGCATATTTCTTGAAACTTTTGCAATAAATCGTATTTTTCACGCTATAAAATAATATTCCCACGCGGTCGGTCGTATATCTAAATATTATCACCAGAAAAGTTTCATCCACTGATATACGTAGTACGGTGGAGCAGCATCAGGCGCGGCGCACTTTTGCGTCGTGCCTCTCGCTGTCGGCTCTGCTGCCTTGCAGTGGAGTGCTGAGGGAAATGATATCGGTTATCCACATAAAGTTTGTTTTGCTGCAGCTATGCAGTCAATACAAGTTACCGGCGATATCATTTTTTTAGTTTTCCCTTGTTTTCTCGTCGGTTGTTTTATGTATTTCTTGTCTTTTAAGCTGCGAGGAAAAAGTTGACGTACAAGCCAATCAACTGGTAGTCGTAGTTACATATCTCTACGTTTCAGACGTTTATGAACATTTTGGCATACCTTTGAAAAAATGAATGTGTGTGAGTGTTTTTTAAGTTATGCAGTCGAAACATGTTACCGGCAATATCATTTTTTTAGTTTTCCCTTGTTTTCTCGTCGTTGGTTCTATGTATTTCTTGTCTTTCAAGCTGCGGAGCAAAAGTTGACGTACAAGCCAATCAACTGGTAGTCGATCTATTCAATGCATTCAATTCGTAAAAAAATATGTATTTTTAAATAGGCAGCTAGTGGTCTAGTTAGTCAATAATTAATGTTAAGGCCCGAAGCTTAAAATACACTTCGACGTCTAACTGGGTGTTGTCGTTTTACTTCTTCTAACCACTACACTTTTAAAATTCTTCTATAATTGAACTACTAATGTGATCGGTGATTATTTAAGTAAAAGGCGACGTTTGATATCAATATGTTTATTATAATAAAATATGTTGAATATAATGTCATCAGATAGTTGGTGTTTCTATACTGAGCTCTAAA